TGACTCACACACCTAGATACCCTTTCCCTCCGATGCTCAGATCAAAAAAACTGCATGTTCTCGGTTAAGAAACGTTTTTCACAATTACAGGCTAACCTCCTTAGACGAAATTATGTTTAAAGAAAGCGGAGTCTCCCAATTACATTATCACCTCCGATTTTTAAAAGGACATACTTACCAAGATGTCGGTACAAATCGAAATCACGGTTTGGAAGTACCTACTTCACTCCACATCATTCACTTCACTACGCAGCACTCACTCTACCCTATCAACTTACCCATCAAGTTACGGCTTATATATAAGAAGAAAGGGTAGAATAGAGCTAGGTTTTCGAAATCACGGCCTTTATCGTAATCATGACTTTCTCGCACGGACAGACACCAAACTGACATACCGACAAACCGACACACTGTTTTGTATAAATGAGAGGGATTTTATAAATATTAAATTGAAAGAATCAAAATAACAGACGTTTCTGGCGGGAAGAAAGTTTCAAAATCCCGGCGACTGGTCGTGGTAAAAGTCAAACGATTCCAGGTAACGCAAACGGGTTGGACAAAAATCGTTCTATTTGTGGTGGAACAGATCAAAGAGGGTTTTCATGACGAAGTAAAACGACAACGTCGAGTTCGTCCGCGACACATTGGCGTAAGTATAAACCTCCTTGAGTAATCGAAAAAAATCTCTAGAAATTTTCGCATGACGATTTTTATTTGGGATTTGCTAGTGAGAAATCAATTGAATTAATTCTTAATTGTTTTTTTTTGGCACATCAATATCTGTTTATACTTGTGAATATTCTTGGTGCGCGCTAGCGCGTAGTCAATCGCGACCCGGCGATGTATTAGCAGTTTTCCTCGCGCAATAGCTACATATATCAGCGTACATATAGCTTCAAAAACCCTTTGGTTTTTTTCGAGAAGTATTCTCAGAAAACAGGTAAACTACTCAGTTGGTAAAAAAGGATGAAGTTCCTGGCGTCAACCAGTCCCGTCTGAGGGATACGCCCCCGCACACGACTTTCATTCAGAATCGTAGTGGCGTGATGAGTGTGTATGTGTATTTACAATGACTTGCGATGGCCAGCCGATGTACAAGTCAGTGCTTTTATACTCCCAGACGAGTCTGGCACCAATTCACCCACCCCGGAGGGATGAACGCTTGGTAGGCCTGAGCGGATATCGATCCGAGATGTTAATAAGTTGTTAACTTGGCAAAATATTATGATAATTAGCAAGTTGTGAAGCGAATGAACTCAGGCATCTTCATAGTGAATTTATGAAGCGAAATTAGACAAGGACCACTTGAATTTGAGAGATATTTTTCTATATGGCCAAACACACACAATCACTACTACACTTCGTGCACTCCCCTCCCGCCATAAGCGAAGTCCTTCACAAGTCCTACGTATTTAAGTAGCCACTTCATTCTTCACTGATTCCATATTTCAACTCGGACCATACCCATTTTGCACGCGTTCCGCTCTATCCCTAATCGGCCTCCCCTCCACGCTCCAGGTGAGTACAACTCGATCACCTCCTGCCACCTATTATCACTGTTCCCATACTGCTGCCTGCACTCCTACGACGATCGAACGTTCTAAGCCCAAATTAACTATTTTTAACTTTAAACCTAATTCTAAATCTAATTAACTACTGACGCTCGGCCCCTGTGGGGGATTCAAAGCTGCCAGCCATCCACCGTACTTGTTCCTATCATGCCGCCTGTACATATACACATACACATACACACATACGTTACTCTGTTGTATATAAGTCCCTCGGTTTTCAGAAAAAAAAAACAGCCTCAAATAGTAGCTCAAACGACGGGAATAACGTACCTGAGTCTAAAAATAACATTTGTTCTCTTTGGGCATTGACCCCTGGATAGCCAGCCGTATTACCGTCAATCCGGACGCCTAGTTGAATTGTCGCGATCACGTTTCTGGTTATTTCGCCTCATCAGGTCCTAAAAAATATTGAAACCTGTTTGAATTTGATAAAGTAAACGAATGAACCGAGGAAGAGAGAGTACAATTATAGTCGCCTAGATGCCTCAATCTCTTGCAACGAATGAACAAATCACCAGAACCCCTACTAAGGTTTTGAATACAGCTTAGCTTGATCTTATTGTTAGCAATCAATGGTGGGCCTCATTGGAACTGTACTAGGGAGCTACTTGCAGCTCGTTACTCCTTCGGAATTTTTGAAGAAATAATCTTCTCACGTTCCTTAACAGAAATATGTCCAGAAAGTCATCTTCATATACGCCACTTTATGCTCTATTACTTCGAGAAATGTTGGGAGGCGGCCCACTCTTGAAGTGATCTCGACGAACTTCTGGAGCAGTCAGCCAAAGCCGAATAAGGAATGGAATTTGCTTCTACGGTCACCCTATTCACCAACAAAAACTCCTATGGATTACCACGTCAATCGCCCGTTGAAAAATTGGTTAACGAACAGAACTTTCGACGAAGTGAATCGCTTGATGGCCAACGTCAAGGCGTGGTCGCCTTCAAAAATCGAAAATCGCCTTCTTAGCCTGCGGAATCCGACCACCTAGCAAATAAGAAGCAGCGCTCGACGTAGATGGTGGATATGTTCCCTAGCAATCATTTGAACATGTCTTTGCTAGATGTTCCTATCGGTTCTTCAAGTAAAATTTGCTGAAAAAAATTGCAATAATTATGCATCAACCTAATAGTAACAAAAAAAAAACGAATTTTCACCGTCAGTTTATTAGATTAGGCGAAAGGCTTCCGGGAGACTCCGAGAGAAATCTGGACTAAAGTGAAATCTTCGGTTCTGTCTGTACCTCTTGTGATATGAAGCATATGTTGAACGAATGCATGATATTTCTGGTTACAGCATCTTGCCGACTACACCTCGCTGTCAGAAGCTTCTAGTCACTCGTTACCACGCAATCCGGAAATCAAAAGATACAACACCGTCGACAATCTATAAATTTCATGAAACTGCTGAAATCACTTCTTACAATTAGACACCGGTTTACGGGTGAGTATGAAACGAAAGGATATTCGATGAGCTTCGTTGAGAATTCCACCCACAACACAAACAATAGGGACACCTGGGTGCTAAAGGGAATCGTTCCAGTGCAAATGGGTGGTTCTTTAGTATTCAAGCTGTTTATTGCTTTTCATAGTCCTCGGCCAGTCAAGAAAATAACCCAAAACATCATCTGTGATACATCCTGTGACTCATTTCCTACATTTTGCAAATGAGCACTCGTCAGTATAATGCAAGAAGGGTGCATTCAACACACTGGCCATACTATCCCCATTCTCTATCCTCTTGTACAGGAGCAGTAATTACCCCAAACACATTTGAACGGGTACATAATGGTCTTCACAACTGTCTCAATTTTTATGAGATAACTGTTATATCGTCAACGATATGTGAAGTATTGGCTTTCGTGGTGACAATTATCAACGACGACATATTTCTCAAAAAAGGATTCATGAATACCGCTCCATTCTGTACGCACTGACCATTGTCCAAATCGATTCTATCAAGCATTTCTTGGATTATTTCATAACCAACTGATCATATTATGTCACTTTGGTATTTCATACTCATGTTTTATTCAGAAATAAATTTAATTACATGCATCATCTCAACAGGATTGTAAAGGGATTTCACAACATTATAATTACAATACAGCTACGCAAAAATATACTAACAATATACAAACTACAAAATATACAAACGCGTAATAGCTTTGACAATAATTTCAATACGATCAAGTACATGTTCACGACCTCGCGTAATAGTTTCCATACCATCTAGTTGATGTCAACTAATTTCTCGGCTAATCCCTATTCATCTACAATCACTCAGTGATTCCGCATTGCTCCATACTGTATTTATACAAATCGTCACATGCCTGATCATTTAAAGCCAAAGGATTCTCATTAGCCACTTTGCAATCGCTGGAAATAAAAAAAAATTAGGTAGTAAAATTGATTTTATGAATGTAACCAGTCGGATACCCGGCTGACGCCAGGCTCTCCTCTTTCTTGTTGAGAGTTGGCATCGCCCTTCCAAACTTGGACCTTTGTATAGGAGAACGGGAGGTCTAAAATCCCGGCTGAACACGCACACTTACACACACCCGACAACGTGATCATTCGCTCATCCTGAGCGGAGTCTTGCTCAACGGGTGCGTGTTTGAGAGACTTGATTCATTATAATCCTTTCTTAACTTGACTGCGCAAATGTACTCAGATTACACACGTTCCACCTCCTACATTTCGCCGCCTGTACCCCAACCAAATTTGAACGCTCGTGTCTAAATTAGCGATTCCCCAACCTTAAAGCTATTCTTTCTCAAAGTTTACTTCTAGGTCTAAATTGAAATTTTTTTGCACATGTCTCTCCCCCCTTCTGGCCGAATTCCAGTCGTATCATCTCTCCTGAGTGTTCCTATACTGCCACCTGTTTTCCTTCCAAAGTCGGAGCTAGCGGTTTTCGCTCATGCCTCGCCTCCCGCAGGCGGAGTACAGTCCAGCCATACATCATAGGTGTTCCTATCCCGCAACTTGTATTCTTACCAAATTTGAACCCTCTATATCCAAGGGAACAGGAATTTCCTGTCACACACACAACACAACACATTCACATGCGTACAACCCACAGACATACTTAGTATATAATAGGATTCTTACAAAAGCTTGAACATGAGCGCCGTAGGCATGCTCTCAGAAGAATTGTTCCTTTGTTCAAATTGACTAATTTTTCAAAATAACTTTTTGTACCAGTACCAAAAGTGTCAGAAAGTGAAAGCAATTATACAGAAAAATAGGCTAACAACATCCCTATCCTCCCAAATCACCACTTTGCCAAAATTAATAAGCGCCTTTCGTGTTAACATGTAGAAGTAAATACTATAACCACTTCTCAAACTCACGCAAAGTATTTTCCGCTGACACCTTCAACGTTCTTGCTGAGGGCCAGATAAAGGGAAGTCTGCGCTCCATCGCGATCTGTTTTCATAAAGAACCACCTGAATATGAGAGGTATTTACAAATAACCGCCTCTCCCCGACGACGCAACGAAAAAAATTGTGAAACCTAACCTGAATGGAGCAGTTATTTGGCGTAAGGGCGTTTTGAGGAATGGAGTCGATCGAGGCAGGTTGGTGTTCACATAACCTGGATGTAACGAGTTCACAGTGACATTGTGTATGCCGAGTTCATGAAGACGCTTAGTCAGGGCACGAGCGTGCATGACCTAAAGTTAAAGTATGCGATCTACTGCACTTTAATTCAAAGGCTTCTTTGAAAAAACAAGCCCATTTCTAGAAAGAGTCGTTAGATGCTTAGAAATCGATCCGATTGCTTCGAAATTGCTTACACTAGCAAGCTTGCTGCGAAAGTATGGCTCGAAATAGCCAAATTTTTTCTCGTCGTCGATGGTAGCCAAATCTAAGGCTTTACTCCTGAGATGCAGTACCGAAGACACGATCACAATCCTTGCATTTGGTGCCTTCTCCAGTGCAGGCAGAAGTAACTGAGTAAGAAGAAAATGTCCTGCAAGAAGCCCACGACGGTTATTCTTTTAAATCTTCCACATAATAACATCTAGAAGTTAGAAATATGGAGACAAAAAATTTCGAAAGCTTTGTGGTTCAAAATCTCTGGCATAGAAGAGGCTGCAGGTTGAGCCGAGAAGAAAAAAAAATATCAAAGGATCAACTTCGCTTACCAAGATGATTGCTTTGCCAGGTCATCTCGTGGCCATCAACCGTTTTCTCATATCTTGGATAAAACATCACTCCAGCATTATTGATGAGTATGTCGATCTTGTCTTCTTCTTAAGGAATAAACTGTTCTTAGCGGCAAATCAGATTAAGGGAACAAGAAATTTCGAAACAGTTAGACACTGATTTTTTGCTGTCTTACTGAACTTCCAAAATTCTACCTACCTTTTAAAATCTCATTTGCGCATTCTCTAACGCTGCTAAAATCTGCCAGATCACAACGAAGATTGACGAGACGAGTGGCATCGCAGCCCATCTGAAAATCAACGCATACTGCTTTTCATGCTGTTTCAAGTCGCTTATATTAATGACACCAGTAAATGCAGAAAATATCCCTAAATTTCTGTGCTCACATACTCTGCAGCACGATGAGAAGCCTGAAACAAACCTTGCAGAAACTTCTAAGGGAAATAACAGGCTACCTCAAAGTTCTTTGTTCTCAACTCATACTTTCCAATAAGAGACGATAGCTACTCTTACCTATCAGAATTCGCTCACCTCAAGAACGACGCACACCTCCTGGAGGCGTGAAGTTATTCTTAAGAGATCTACGCACTACTTCGAAGGACCTACTGAAAACTGGGAAAAATCAGTAGAAATAAGTAGGAACAGGAGGATGGGAATATACCTTAATAAAATCGAAACGAAAATAAATACTACTGAACTAGAACCTATCAAAACGAACATTTCAACAAAGCGAAAGCTTGCAAAAAAAAANAAAAAAAAAGACATCGGTCATACAAACTTCTCAAATAAAGACGATTTCTCTGAACAATGAACACTCCGACATTGCAGAGCAAATCTGGGAATTCCTACTCTGACGTTCCGTCAATCTGACTCATTTTTGCAGGCGTCGATATTTGTTTAATTTCATTTCGTTTCTAGAAGCGCTTGCATCTACCAATTGAGAACGTAATCGATACATGAACATTATCAAATACCTGTGCGAGTTTGATCTTTGCAGCTACGCCACGTTCTTCATTGCGACAGAGCATATATACCTAAATATACCAGAGACATGAAAGCCTACTAAGGAAATATGACGTGTAGAAAAAATGGGCCACTTTTCTGAATACAGCTAGGAACAGCTTAGTCTGCCCTATGATGAGTCGAAATCAATTATTCTCAATACACTGGATCGATACCCTCTAATAGACCTGTACCTATTATGTTGCCTGAAACGTATTGGCGAACAATCAGAAAGTTCTAAATAAGGCTTTGACATTACACGACCATAGGCGAATGAAAAATGTCGAGTACTTGCCCTAAGTACTATGTATTATGAGCACTTCTAAGGCAGCTTTCATGGGGAAAATGGCCCAGTTTTGGTAATGGAAAGAAGATTAAAGATAAGGAACAGAATGAAAGGGAAGGATACCAAAAAAAGCACAGCAAAAACCAAGTGATTAATCAATAGAACTGAGCACAAATCATAATAGAATTGAGCAGACANCGTACCTTAGCCTTTGCAAGGTTTAATCCTCTGACAGTTTGCAGGCCAATGCCACTGTTCGCACCGGTCACTACAGCTACTAGACCTTTTGCTGACACTTGTTCATGCACATCGTCGAAATGTGCTCCTTTGAAGTACCTCCTATAATGACAACAAGTGACTATAGAACATTTTAAAAATCGAAGTGAATTGTCTTCTCTACACTAAAGCTTACCGCCCTGAAATGAATTTAATATGGATGCATCTTAACCCTTGATCCCTGATACGAAATATGAGCTCTTTCTATCAAATACAGCGATGTAAGTTATATAGATAAGGAGTCCGCTTCAAAATCACTTTCCATGGTTAGAAAATGAATCGAGAACGAAGAACCACCGATTACCCACAGCAATACTATGAGTAAGAATTATAAAATAAGGTCACATTAAAAAAAAGAGTTATGCTGCCGTAGTCTTTGCGATTAATTCATATTATTTTGGTCGGCGGAGAGTTTGATCGCTCGTTTAGTACAACAAGGTCGGCGACCCCATTCTACTTAGGATTTTCCACTGATTTAGTACAATTTCTTTTCCAAAATGATAAAAAAGTGGATACTTAGTTGTTGGCCGTTGTGTGACCCTTGACATCTATCTATCCTACTTTGTACATGAACCGATTAAACCATACTAACATAGTTAAAGTTACTATTAAGAAAGGGTAAAGAGGGCGTATCGCACATACCATTGTTAAAGACGTATCTGCACCTCATAAAATACACTTCGGAGCAATGTGAGCACTTCGACACGAACTACAGTATCTCCAAGTCTGCACGACTTTACCTTTGTCTCCCACTACGACTGAATTTGGACCCCAGCAGGTGTTGAATTATGCGAATTCTACCGTGATTTCATTTTACTTGCAAAGATAACCCTCACTGGAGCTATGTAACATAACGTAGGCGCAGGAGCGTATGTTTCGTAGAAGCTCTGAAACCTAGTCCCTAATTTTATAGAAGCTCTGGAGTCTGGCCCCTCAGTAACTAATGGACACTTCCAGATTTCAACGACGTACGTTGTTTCAACCGGCAAGCGTCTGGCTGCTCTCATACTTCGGCGAGCACGCCAGTACGCCGTTGGAGACGCCGTTGGACTACACTCAGGAAGCGGCGTGCGAGCGGCGATGCGACCGATCGATACTGCAAATCGAGGATGGCTACTGACACACGCTTGGATAGGCCCCCGTCGCATAGCCGCTCGCACGCTGCTTCCTAAACGTACGGGCGTCTCCAACGGCGTGCCGGCGCGCTCGCCGAAGTATGAAGGCAGCCACTGATCGAAAGCGCTGCTGGCAACGCGTTGACAACGCGTGACTAGAACGTGGCTCGGGTGCTAAGTGGGGTGACGGAACTTCTCCCCAATTGCGGCATTCTCTCTTGCGCATGCGGCAAATGTCACTG